TACAAACTTCTGTTTTCCAATTGAAAATCCTCCTTTTCAACTGTAAATTATTCAATGGATAATTTTTCTGAAAAAATCAAAGTTCGTACGAGTAGTTTTTGAGTTATTTAACTTTGTGTTCTAAGGATAAAACGTAATGGTAATGGGTTTATAATATTTGGGGCCTATGGTGATTTGAAAAGTTCAGTCATTAATATTAAACTATCAACATTAATAATTTGTAAAAATGTCCCAAGTATAATAAATACCGCCATACTGGTCGCAAAATTAAGTCTATTTTATATTTTTGTAAAACCATTTTTTTTTTATTATTATTATTATTCTTAGTACAAAACATTTTAATAAACGATAACTCATTGAAACAACTCATTCGGATTTTGAATAAATATATATTTATTTAAAATGATGTGTAGTAGTCTTAAATTTTACATCATCTACAAGCACCTACGTTTTATTGTACCTATAATGTAAAATTCATTGACCTTAAGACGTATTTAATTATAAAATAAGTGTATAAACGCTAATATATTTGCTTAAATGTTACAATAATCAGGTTTTAATGTTTTTGTAAAATAAACATTATATAATAGAATATCCTGTGCAATATATTATAATATACCGAGTGATCCCCGGTATTATATAACAGAAGACACTCATTATTTCAATAACAACGATTATAATATTGTTATTGGAAGTATATATTTTTACTATTTTTTATACTTATTATTTTTTTTAATTGCTTACTATTTTAAAATTATGACAACATGCATTTTTAATTCCTTATTCTAAAGCAGAGTATTTTTTGGAGCACTTCGATACATACGAATTGAATATTTGACGAGTAGTTTGTGAACGGAGTAGCACAGGCGAACCCCGTAAAATGCTGGTCCGATACTCCGCTCGTTGATGTCTACTTTAAATACTTTATACTAAGTACTTATCCGAAATACTACTTCTAGTATAAGTAATATTCTGATTGGAAATAAAAAATGTATGTTGTCATTCAAAACGGTAAGCAATTAAAAATAGGTAGTAAAAGATATTTTGTTTTAAACATTTTGTCTTTTAATGACTTAATATTAAGAGAGAGAAATGTTTTCAAGAACGTTTAGGGTTTTTTGAAACAAAGTCTTACGTCCACTTGAATGTAATAATGTACACCCCGTATTAAATTATGAATGTTTAATTCAAATAATTTTTGTTTTAGCTAGAACTTGCATTCCTATATACCTTATAGATACAATATTTACGTCAGCGACAGCGATTACAATAATTATATTATATGTATATCAATGAATAATGATATTGGTCGCACAATAATTATTGGCGTTGTCGTTGTGATGTCTTGATTCTTGTCGATAATTAATCATTATTATCTTGTCTCATTATTATATACTAGTTTATATTTTAGTACGTTTAATACACACGAGTACAATAATATCGAACAACAAAAATGCTGCAGGGGTTGTTGTCGATGCTGAAGCGGTTGCGGTCGTCGCCGGACAAGGAGCTTCGCATCCTACTGCTGGGTCTGGACAATGCGGGAAAGACGACTCTGATGAAGAAACTCGCTTCGGAGGACGTGTCGCACATAACGCCCACTCAGGGTTTCAACATTAAGTCCGTGCAGGCGGATGGCATGAAACTGAACGTGTGGGACATTGGCGGGCAGCGCAAGATAAGACCGTATTGGCGAAACTATTTCGAGTTCACCGATATACTAGTAAGTAGTATAAGTCGTGGGTCTAGAATGAAAAGGTTCTAAATCGTTTTATGAAATTTTCCAGGAGAGCAATTTTAAGGTTTTAATATTTTATTTCTTTGAACAACATTTTTGGAAAATCAAAGGTTCAAGAAACTTGTATAGTTTCATTCACAACATTATAATAATAATTTTCTGTATTGGTTGATATACGAATTATAAAATGTTTAGTATGAAAAGGTTCTACAATGTTAAAGATCCATAAAAATTGCGACTCGCACTTAAAATAATTAAAGGATTTTTTAAAAACCTAAATGTAAATTCAGAATGAGACCTTATCTTCACAATTGTTTTTTCTTATCCATGGTTTGTACCACGACGCCATCATAATTATATCATATTATATTAATACTTTGAACGGGTACAATATCTTCTTCTACTATAAAGGCTTTACCTTGCCGTTGCTAACCCCCATTGTTGGGAGAATTAATGCAGTGGTCTTCAGTTGTCTTCTGCATCGCAATGGCACCTCTTATTTCTAAGGAGTTTTATTCAAGTATATAGTATACACCTTGATACAAACAATGCTGCTGCCCACTGTTTGGTTCACTTTGGTCTTCTCTTACGAAAATCATGGACTACTTGGGGTGTATTCTGCCCCCCCCCCCCACAGCCTCATCCACAGATCAACAAATATAAACAAACAATTATGTTTTTTGTGATACACATAATTTCCGCGACACACCTGTCGAAAACCATTGCTCCACTAGTTACAATGGCTTATTAAAACTATTCTGTTACTTGAATGAATTTAATGATAATTTCAAGTGAATTTAGTAAATAAAAAGTTCTACGTTCTCTATAACTAGGTATATACTATATAACCGTCCAGATATATTTATATAATTCATACACATATCAATTTGAAATACTGAAACATAATAATTTATTTGAATAAATACCTATACAATTATTGGATGAAATGGAGGTGACCCTGCACGGTGTGAATTACTACCCCATTTGGCCCATTTGCACATTTAATAAACGGAATCGGGTCAATAACAGCTATTGTGTGCCTCGTTACTGTTGTCAATTTTAGCTGTAAGGAGTAAAGACCTAAAGTATTGACAACATTAAAGTTAGTTAACGCTGTCTGATTTTGATTGTGAAAAAAAATTTGAACTCACCAGAAAATTGTCTATAGATCCTATTAAGCACTTTGTAAAAACTAAATTTTATATTATTGTGAACTGTAATTTATTGAAAACTTGAAAATAACAACTTTTTCGAATCATAATTAAAATTAATGTTCAAAACAGAAAATGTTTCGTACGATCTACAGACATTTTTCTGCTGAATTTAAATATTTTTTCAGAATCAAAATCATACAAAGTTAACTAACTTTAATTTTGTCAAAACAAATGTATGTTTTTGTAAAATTCGTGTAGTGAAATTGATATGGTTATCGAGTTTTTGAACTGTGCATACTCATACGAGAGAGGATACGCTCATTTAATTTCACTCACACTAATAATCATTTACAACTAACACATAGATCCCGGGCGGCTATGGCAAGATTATAATTTGCCTAAACGTTGCCCCTTAAATAATGACCGTAGCCGAGGCCCCATAAAAGTGATTTTAAATATTTTGTATATTACATAGTATAATATTATACTTCAATAAATATTTGTTTGGGCTCGTGTTGCAGATTTACGTTGTGGACAGCGCAGACAGAAAACGTGTGGACGAAACAGGATTCGAATTGAACGAACTGCTCAACGACGACAAACTAATCGGTGTACCGGTGTTGGTATATGCCAACAAACAAGACTTGGCGCTGGCGGCAAAAGCTTCGGAAATAGCGCAAGAACTCAACTTGCATCTAATTCGTGATCGGCCCTGGCAAATACAGGCGTGTTCAGGCATACGCGGGGAAGGCATCAAAGTAAGTAATTATTGGGTTGTACCCAGTGTTCGGACTTATCTAGATAAATTTATCTAGATGAATATCTAGATATTTTTTTGCTCATCTTTTATCTTATCTAGATAAATAGTTACAAGGTATTTAAAAGGTCATCTTAGATATTTTTTTTACTAATCTAAATGAATTCATCTAGATAGATTTTCTATTGATAAAAATCGCGAAATTAAACAAACGCATTTTTAATTTTTATTAATTTTAACGGTTTATTTGTTATTTCATTAACAAATAATAATAATTTTTACATAATTATATAATGAAAAATACATGAAACATTTAATCTGGTTGTGCTATATCATACTATAATTATTATAGTTATTTAATCATGGTATAATATAATTTAGCTAGGTATCAGCTATAATGGTGTAGACTGTATGGCAACAGTAAATAGAATAATAAAATAAAAACTATATTGTTTGGTCAGATTATTTTAAATCCATTAAAAAAAAAAATTGTATCTTTTTTTATATCTAGATAAAAAAGTATTTATCTTTATCTTTATCTAGATAAATATGAGTTAAGTTATCTTTTATCTCTATCTAGATACATTTGAGTTGCATTATCTTTATCTTTATCTAGATACAAAAATACTTATCTAATCCGAACACTGGTTGTACCATAGGTATATATGGTTTTATTCCGGCAGAAAAAAGACACGAAGAAGATACGGATTCACTGGATTAATATTTAAAAAAAAAATCTATTCGTACGAAAAGATCAAATATTTTGATTTCTATCTCTATACCCACATGGTCTATTGAAATACTACAATTAATATTCTTAAAGGGCTTCGCTACTGTCGTCAATTTTAGCTGAAAAGACCTAAAGTATTGACAAAATTAAAGTTAGTTAACGTTGTCCGATTTTGATTCTGAAAAAAAAATTGAACTCAAAAGAAAATCGTCTACAGATCCTACGAAGCACTTTATAAAAACTAAATTTTATATTACTGTGAACTGTAATTGAAAACTTGAAAATATCAACTTTTTCGAATCATAATTAAAATTAATGTTAAAAACAGAAAATGTTTCGTACGATCTACAGACATTTTTCTGCTGAATTCAAATATTTTTTCAGAATCAAAATCATACAAAGTTAACTAACTTTAATTTTGTCAAAACAAATGTATGTTTTTGTAAAATTCGTGTAGTGAAATTGATATGGTTATCGAGTTATTGACATGTGATACCCACATTTAATTTCACTCACACTAATAATCATTTACAACTAACACAGATCCCGGCGGCTATGACAAGATTAGAAATTGCCTAAATGTTGCCCCTTAAATAATGACCGTAGCGAGGCCCTTAATCGTTAGTACTCCAGTTGAGGCACTGCAGACTCCAGTCTAGGCACAGACTCCAGTCTAGGCTCAGACTCCAGGACTCCAGACACTACCGTAGCAGATGAATCATTAGCCCGCATACCTAACCAGGCTAAAAAGTTATTGCTCTTCTGGTGCTTAAGGTGGTATCCCCGTTTATTCTTCCTCTTTAGATCAATTGTAGGTATTTGAGTGAAATGGCAAAATGCCACCTCTCTTTGATCTACTATTGGTACTGAGATGTCCACCTTTACTAGTCTTTTTGTAAAGGTCCGACGTCTTGATAGTGAAACCATGCCTTGTTTGAAGGCCTGGAGGTCCTGGCTGAAAAGCTCCCATCGCGTGGCACGATACAACATTATGTGAATTGTACAATAAATTATATAAAGAAAGTTGAAAAACAGTTGAACAGTTCAATGCTTTATGTGGAGTGATTATTAGCAAATTAATTTTTGTTTTTTATGCATTGTTTATTTCCGGTTTCTATGTTGGTCTTCTAACAAAATACTCGTTGATTTAATTTCAGCCGTCGAATATTATTCAGATGTATGCTTAAATATTGTAACAATAATATATATATTGATAAAAAAAAACTCGAAAATCACCGCACATTATGAATCGGGAGTGGTACAAAAACATTTGTAGAGACGCAAAACATTATACTTATTATGACATGAAGCCCTCCTATTGTATAATATTATAATATATCAAGGACTAAGATTATAAGAATGGATGGGACACTCATTAAATACTGGCTTCAAAAGAGGTTGCCGTTTTTGGGGAAGAGAGATAGTTCAATATCTAGGAGAGAGATAGACTATAACTTTGCCTTTTTTGAGGTGAGGTTACAATAATTATTGAAAATACATTTCGATTTTTTAATCACGTGTGATCGTATTATACTGCAGATCGTCCCTTGTTGTCAGTGACAATGGTTTTATCGGGGGTGTCCGATTTCTACGTACCTACGACAGTCATAACGTTGTTTAATAGTCTGTTAAATTTTAGTTTATTTTATAAGTTATACTAACAATAGAATCTGTCAAGATCATATACATTATATAACCATAAGCTCAAATTTATGCGTCGAGGGGCAAAAACTTACGTATAGACTCAATTTATTTAACCTGAAGATACCAAAGGCCGAAACCGGCAGTTAATACTAATACTCTAATAAATTGAATTAATATAGTTAGACCGAAGTTTGTGAAATTTTAGCCCAACTATGTACAATGTAAAAACTTTTTACATATATTACAATAATATTTTAACAACGTTGTCAGTAAGTTCTCTAGAGACAAAGTTCTGTGAATTTATTTAAGATAATTAGATTTTCAATAAAAATATTTCCTCAAAGATTTTATTCTGTGATTGACAGAAAAATTTCTTTTACGGAAAGTTGATGATAATATTAAGGCAATTTTAAATGAAGCATAAAATAGTATACATTCAAATGTATTTTCGTTGGTAATTATATAAGGTACATTATAGGTAATGTTTTCAGATTTGTAAAAAATAATGTATATTGTGCATATCTATATCTATACTCTAGCTATACTATTATATAAAGAGCTTTAGTTACCGTTGTCGAAAGTAATCTCTGGAACTACTGAACCGATTTCGAAAATTATTTCACCAATAGAAAGCCACGTTCTTTGTGAGTGTCATAGGCTAATTTAAAAAGGGAATTGATCCTCCCCCGGTAGGTGTTAAAACTGGCATTTTCAGATTTACGATAGAAATTTTTGTTTATTAATGGTTGCTATGGGTTATAGGAGTTGAGAATAATATTTATTTTTTATTATTTTTTTAAATTTAAATATTAATGGAGCGTCTCAATCTCATTCGTTTCAATCAGTCGAAGTTACGATCAGACGAGTACATTCACTTGCAGCGTAAAGCCATGAAGGAGACGCGGCCGACATTGGTCGTTTGACCATTCTCTCAGCCCATTCTTATTTATATATATATATATATAAATGAATGTTTGTGTGTAGATTAGACCTCTGGGTAGAAGATAGGCTAATTTAAAAAGGATTAAATTTATCAGATTTTAGTACGGTTGGGTTAGGATTTTGTATTAATTGATAATATTAATCTGCCGTAGGTGGAATTAAGTAAAAACGATAAACTTGGTATAACTTTGGTCTTTAATACTCTAGAGTTAAATCATACACTTACTTACAAACAGCACGGGGTCCGCGATCTACCGCAGGTAGATTGCCTACCTGCTAATATACTGCTGAGAACCAGAATTTTTATTCCGGGCGATGGAAAAGTTAAGATTAAGTTTTGAACACCATACACCGAATATTAAATAACAAATTGTACAAAGTTTGAGTCATAAAGAGTTGGTACATTTAACGGGCAACGAAGTGCATTGGATCAGCTAGTATAAATATATTATAATGTTCTATAAACTATATTGTTTTCATTGAACATCATCGACCACATTATTTCACCTTTTGATTACAATTTATACTCTATTTTTTTGAACTATCAAACCTGAAACAGATTTGTTTTTGTTTAAAGACAACAAAGTGAATTGACTAATTTAATGTTTTGGGAGGCTAAACCCCCTTAATCTCCCCTCCCCGATTTGCATCTACGACTATAGATTATAATGTATAACAATATAATATATTATATTACCTACAATATAATCTGTTTTACTATTATAAGAAAATATGATTATTATTTTTAAATTTTTTTTTTTTTAGGAAGGATTGGAATGGATCAGTCAAAATGTAAAAAAAAAGTAATTATGTATATTTAATGAATACTTTGTTCACAATAATTACTATAGTTTATTTCATAGGTATATGTAAGAATTACTAATTAGTGTAATATTTTATTATCATAATATTTTTTTAAACATGTCGAATATATATATAAAAAAAAAAAAAAAAATTATATATTATATATTATTTAAAATATACGTTTTTGCTTATATCTACTCCTGCTATATACTATACAATATAATATATATGTTAGTTACATTATATAATAATATATAACTATATGTCTATAATATGTGTACCTACTATATAGCTACAACTCTTATAACTGAATATTATGTTACTGACAAAAAACGAATGTTTTATATTATGATTAAAATTAAATAATTTGACTTCTCTGAAGTCAATAAATCTTAGTAAAACATTAAAACAATATTAATTACTAGAATTTGATTTATTTTAACATTTCACAAAGATCGGTAGGTTTAGCTGGTGTCAGCTTATTTATCTAGAAATAACCACGCAATGAGTTCGTCGTCATATTATATGCATTTCCTATATCTAATAAGTAGGTAGATAAGTGCATTAACTGTATTGCATTTTTAATATCAGCGTGTTAGTTTTTTACAACACATTAAAAATTATAACGAAAGACTTGACAGCGTATATTAGATTGATTCGTAGATCGCTTAATAGCATTCATAGTATAGCCGGTGATTAAAATATTGTAAGGATCGTCATTGACGACGACGACGAGTGCTTCACTATAGAATTTAGAATCGAAAACAATTTGATTTAGTAAGTACCTATTAAAATACAATATTATTTATCTCTTTGCTTTGTATAAAATCGTCAAAAACAACGGTACACAAATAATTGAAGTATATAATATATAGTAGAAAACGAATTATAATATCAATTAAATATTCTATGAAGCTATCAATCGGTGTACCTACCAATAATATATAGGTGTATACACTTTATCGATAATATAATAATATTGTGTTAGCTTTTTTTGCCATTAGGACGGTGTATTATCAACAATCGGTACTTTGATCTAGTCCGAAAGACATAATATTATTTCATATGGAACTCTATATTATTATAAAATGTATCATTTGAGTTCCATCTGCACTTCCATAAGGTCCCCTATTAAAATATTTCGGGATGGTAAAATACCTATATAAAGTGAATATTGCGGTTTTTTCCGCAATAAACATTACCTACCTAACAGTAAATTGTATGCTAAAAATAATTTAGTAAATGTAAACATTATACATATATATATATAAAAAAGATTATAAAACAAAATTATGGTAGTATATCAATGGTGGCTTAAACTAGGTTTAAGTACCCGAGTACCTAGTGTACACCCCGTTTAGAATTAAAATACATATTATATGAATATTATAAAATGTTCAAAAACCAAAATTGATGATACAGCCTTTGAAACTATGCATATCATTATGTATATCCGCAATTTTTGATAGTTTTTTGTTGTTTGTTTTTACACTATATTTTTAGAGTTCGTTGTGGAAATATTCAGTCGTAGCTTTCAAATCTTCTTCGTGGAATTCTTGACATTTGGCCGAATATTTAGTCTAAACAACACATATGAAAATTGATATTGATGACGAAAACAAAAATCGCAATTTCACCGTTAAAAAAAATAACAACTTACCGAACAATTGTGGTCTTCGGTTGCGGCGTTGTAAAGTTTCCAGAACGGCGTTCCCGTTTGTCCGGACAGGAACCATGAAGCGATTAAACTGTAAAAACAAAATAACAGTCGTAAATGAGCGATTTCGAAGTTATATTTATTATATATTAACTATAAGTATCCTATAGGCAGCGAATGGAAAATCATAGTAAGTATTTTAAATAATGCGTTTTAAAAATACTATCTGTTCCAAATTCTGCCTGAGAATTTACGCGCATAACCGCTCTTTAAATGAATCTTAAATTATTATCATTAATTCAACAACAGCAAAAATAAGTGTTATAGCTTAATTGTAAACGGTAGTTCTCATCATATTTGACATTGGTACACATTGAATTAAACATCATATATTTGTAACGTATTACGATTTACGAGTAGGGGAAATCTGGGTAAGATGGGAGTTATTATTTAATTTATTGAAAAAACAAAGATCCTTTATTTTGTAAAATTATAATATTAGTTTTTAAATTTCCAATCGGTTTTGTTGTTTTATTAAGTATTAACTATATACATACATTTATACTTAAAATAAAAATTGACTTTGAATGACTTAGGTAAAACGGGATGGAACATATAGGTGCTTATTTATATAGCAAATACAATATATTATTTCTTATCATATGTAGGTTGAATAACATTAAATGTTTTTTTTTTATTGGATAACCCGCGGCAACATAGGCCATTGGGTGTTAGTGGTTTATTTTTGTGTGTTGTTATGTCGGTAGGGGGAGGAACACGTGTGTGTTGGGTTTGGCAGAATTTTGAATGGGGCACCCGTAGGTTTCTGCCATGCCCCGGAGTGGGGGATGGCGGCACTTGTTCTCCGGACACCGTGACTTGCCCGGAGAAAAATACCGCCCAGTGGTCGAGAGGATCGAACCCGCGTCCGCCAGCGCCGCAGACGACGTGTCCGACCGCTCGGCCACCTCGTCCCCCCATTAAATGTTATTCAAGCTCAAAAGCTTTGTTTTTTTAATTTTATAAATACATTAATCACAAAGAATTAATGAACATTAAAATAATGAGAAAATGAGAGTTATAGTCTTAAGTTTCATACCTAATGTTTGAATAATACTACCTATTGTTATAATTGCTTATAAAACATTTACTTTAATACACCTTAGGTTACTTAGGTTGAGATAAATTTAAAACTTTATAAAAAAAATAAATAGTGGCATGGCGCATTGGCTGCTATCAGTCATGCAATGTGACTGAGAGTAAGTAGCGTCCGCTTCTACTAGTTCCCGGATGGGTGACCACCCGGGTTCGTAGTAGCAAAAACTTCGCCACACATACACGTGTTGCTCTATAAACAACTTGTCGATTATTCCTTGCATATTTTTAATTATAATACCAGTACAAAAAGAACTTTTAGTATTACCTATTTTAAAAACAAATATTATATATATACTTAAATGTTTTAAAATAGCTCGATAACAAGATAATAATACATTCATGGACCATTGTAAGCGTTAATTGTGCTTTTAAAATACATATTGAAGTTAGTTAACACATACCTGGACAGTTTTGTGACTCCTGGTTTGAGTCCTGTTTTGCTATCTGGATATTGGCCTTTGCGATTGATGCTGCACACCAAGTAACGATCACATTCTGGTTTCTTGCCCACGAACCTGTACACCCTCCACACCCTGAGTATCGGGTCAATCAACTCGTGGTTCAACAGCTCCGATAGCTTCTCTTCGATTTCCTTGGACGTTAAATGCTGCAAGCTCAATCCTTTGCTTTGACCCAACCTAAACACATCCTACACGAACAAGCAAACATACACACATATAGATACTTATTAATATGACGTTTGGTAACATTTGTCTAATTGAATACGCCTAAAATGCGTTATACGTACTTGTAAATATGCTATCGCTGGTTTGATGTATGTAGCGGAATTGACTTTGAGTCCAAACTGTCGTTTAAACACCGCGTCGGCTAGGAAGCTCAGCGATTCTGCTGGTCGTGCTGAATCGAACTGGGCCGCTTTAGAATAACCTTGTGACTTTAAGAATCCATTCATTATGAATTGTGTAGTCGACAAATATCTGTAAAATACGACGCCATATAGGTATTATAGTTAGATATATTGGGGTACTTTAACTATAGTAACCCGAAGCACCTAATGCAATCTTAAACAAAAATCGTGTTTTGATCGTATATAATATACATTTAACATTTTCGGATTTTACATCGTATAATGTAGGTAGTTAGGTAGGTAGAAAGGCACTATAATATAGTATCATCTTATCACCGTATGTGGATCTGGACTGACGCCATAAACAAAACGTAGGTATAATACCTATCTATGTCTGGAGACATCATCACAGACACACATAACAATATTGGTTTTTGGGAGTGAATCCGAGATGCTAATCTTATTTTATTTACACGTAGGTATTATGTAGGTACGCGAGCGTATTATATATACTAAAAAAAATATCGAGAAAAATATTTACTACAACCGAGTATCGTCGTTTTTGGTAAATATAATCGGTCACCTGAAAATATGTATGATTTCCTTGATGTCATGAACCAATATAATTAAGTATATGTATTCTGTAAGAAACCGAAAAAAAATTGGAAATTGGAAACCCAGAAAAGAGCTATACTCTACTGAGGGCAACGATAACATTTTCCCCTCAGAGTCGTCTCAAACTCGGCTAACTGTTAATACGTCGGAAAATGCAATTAATTCGAATATATAATAATAATAATGTTATAATATTATAAATTACAGTTACGCTTCACCTTGAAGAAAAAAACATACGTAGGGACATTGACATATAGTGTCTACATGGGCGTATTTTACAATAAATTCCACAGCGTTGTATTATTATTTTTAAAACTACGTATTATAATCACGATGCTATATAATGTAATATATAGGTCCAACTAAACGAGGAGGTGCAGCCGGTATGTTTGTGAAAAAATAAAGATAAACAACCTGTTAGTTGTTATGGTTGGGTATATTATAATATAGTATGCAGAGGTATGTTCAGATGATACTACCGAAACGAGTTGACGTGTTGTTAATATCTTCTATATATAGGTATGAGATAATTTATGTTATTAAATCATTTGGCCGCGACGTGAACATTACATTATTTTTGGTCTTCATAGGTGTTCAATGAACTGTAATGGTAATTTATATGTGTATATTATTCACGCACCTGTTGTACATTGCAGAAATCCCGAACATATTCATAATTAAAACGGTGCGTGCTAAACATATATAGCATACCTAACTTAATAATTGTCTGACTTAAATATTCGATGATTCGAAAAAACCGTACACAGATTGAATCGGAACGAGTTTAGGTACCTACCAATAAAGCAAGACGTAGTTGTAGGTAGGTACTTAAATATTTTACTCCATATACATCATAATATAGTCCTGTGAATTTTAAGGTAAAATAATAATACGTATTACTGAGGGGGCGGATGTCGTTGACCTGCGGGGTAAAGACTTTAATAACAATTATTATTTATTCACACGAATAAAAATATGGTCGGTATGCCGGAATCCCAATAATAATAATACTGCAATTTTCGAGATATTTTATATTACATATTTGCTATTAAACTCAAAATTAAACGGTTCGTTATAGCGACAAGTAAAGTATAATAAAATCAAGTACCTATACTTATACTTGCGAAAATACCAATGTACAGAATATAGTATAATATAAGCATTATTACTACAAATATTATATAATATAATATTGTTTTTATATTTGATGTGAATGAGCATCAAACTGTTATAGGACGAAGATATATTATTGTAAGAACTACGAATATTATGTTATTTTCAAAAGCGTTTCTCGTACGACCTTGACCCGAGAATACAAAGTATTTTGCGTTGGTTAAGATCAGAACAACTGTTTATTTTATACGGATAACTGTAAACTTTCTACGCAGGCGGTTGGCAGACGTCCCTATATCACATATTTGGAATAATAATATCGTAGTAAGTAAAATACAACTAGTAAAGAATATCAATGAAAAGGACTAAGGTTGTATATTAAATAATTATGTTTTAATTTTTATTTATATATTTATATTTATATACCTATATGTATAAATTATATTAGGAAAGCTTCACCAGGTAAGTATATTTTGTAGTTGATTTTTATAAAATCGATTTGTATATCTCATATTGATATTCGATAAGGTGGTTTGTGAACTTAGATATTATTATATAGTACCCAATGACTGACGAATAACCTACATTACATACAATTATGTACCTAAGCACCTACAACTTACAAGTATATAGAACAGGACGAGTAACGTCGAAGTGTATATAATTTAGAAGGATGTAAGGTACATTACCGACCGACGTTACTGTATAATTTCTTAGAATTATAGTCTGATACATCTTGTAAACGCATAATATATAAATTGCGAATATTTTCAGAATACTGAATGATATTATATATAATTCCGTTCTCATAATCAAATTTTACGCTATACTAATATATCAAATATATATTATACGTATAGGTACCAGATTTTTTTTTTGTATTAGGAATATGTACCGTCGTATATTATTATAGAGCAACGAACTCTACGAGCAAAACCAGTTACGTTCGTCTGAAACAAGGCGTGTACGTGGAGTTACGATGATATTATTATTGTACCTATATACACACGCTATCATCATATTATTACATATTATACCTATATTTAAACGCATTTTTGCAATGTGTGCGTCGCGTACCGGGTATTTGGTTATTACCTGGCCTGTGTGTTCGGGTCCGATACGTGTTTCATCCATTCGGCGACGAAGCTGGTCAGACTCCTGACCCACCGCCTTCTGAACGTGGAGTTCTCCATCGACTCGAATATCTTGTCAACCTGGAAATGACCGTCCTTGTCGATGAACAGCTTCAGGATGCTGCCCAGGCCGCTGTTCTTCCACAGGGTGGTGCCCAGCTCACTGTTTTTGAAGTGTTCCCAGTACACGTACGCGCTGCTCAGAAACGGAGGCAGGAAGGTCGAGGCCCTGGCATGCCGCTCGTGCTCTTCGAAATCCTCCACTTCCGGATCGTCGGAATGCTTGTGACCGCCACTGAACGCGTTCACCAACACCGGAAGTACGTTCATGAAACCCTCGATCGACGAACCCTGGAGGCCGCCCGCGCCAGCCGTCGACGACATGAACCCTAAAAATAACCAGCGAAAAACGTTATTTATTTCGTTCTATAAATATGTGAGGGAATGTTAAATATAATTATTGCTATAAATTATGAACTTAGAGTAGATGCGCAAGCGGAACATTGCCATTTTATCATAAGAAATATGTGACAAAGTCTGCTAAAAATTAATGAGTTTAAATTTTTTTACCCACGTTTTTTACAATACAACTACATCGTTGTATAATTTGTTTTGATAATGATCGAAACAATTCAATATACCCATGTCTCATATAATTTACCAATTATAATAGTCATGATTTGATACGATAAAGTAAAAAAATAGTACCTATCGATATGATTTGGTTACCTACTAGTGTTGTTGATTAGAATACGTGATCATTTATAATATTATTTGCAACTAACAAAGGTAAACAAATCAATAAATGTATTTGGATAATTTTCAACACCGTCTTCCGTGGTAAATATATATTCAAGTATTGCGTATCTGATAAAAAAAATTATAATATTGTTTTGAGCAAAAAACGGATCAACATCGAATTTTTTGTTTTATTATATAATAAGACAATTATGATCAACGAAGTTCGTAAAAATAATATAATATTAGACAAGCGATCGCGTATAGTTGCAAACAGGTTATTATGTATTAGCTATATCGATACGGTTAATTTACCGTTGAACCGTTCGACTAATGCGGAATTTTTTGCACGTAAACTATGGGTCATGTACTCGTGTATAGTTGTACTGCTTGCCAACTATGGTGGAATAATATAAATGCATGGCCTCAACAACCGTTGTGACTAAACGATACACACCAGCACATTTGTAAAATAGAAATAACGACATTATCCGTACACCTATAAATACATCGAATATTATATCATTCACCATTGAAAAGATAGATAGTGATTTTTTTAGAAATGTAAAAAAAAATTATCGTTTTCATCTTTGTGATTTTGTGGCCAATGCGACTAGCCACCTGGGCATTATATAGCCATATAAACACTAAGATACCAGATACCTACAACACTGTATATAGGTGAACAAAAATATAGTATCGGCCGGATAATAAAACTGATTAGTAGAGCTACGAGTCTAGTCAGTTGTCACGATCGTATTTACAACAAATCGTATCTATATGTGATCGTAATAAATTACGATAACTTACGTGAATAAAAACTTAATAATAATAACTTACAGTGCATCACCGACCACCGTATAACTTAGCATAGTTAACCTGAATAGGATTTATACGTAGTTAGTTCAGTATTGCTGTGTTTTTTTAACATCTTATAATATAGGTAGTTATATAATTTAACAATTTTGTGATATTTTTGTTGTAGTGATTTGTATGAATATTTTTTTTTAAATCCTATTCAGAGAGTTTCGTTTAATTATTTTAACGAACAATCAATGGTAAAATATTTGAAAAACAATAGTTTGTGCTGTTTGTCACGACATAATTATATTAGTTTTCATACGTGTGCTGTGGATGTGAAAAACTAGTTAAAAAAAGAAAAAAGAAAAGTTCGTAAAGTAATTATATGTGTATAAGAAAGGATATCAAATTACTCAGTCGATAAGAAAACAGAACTCATTTTTTGAATTTGTAAATATTAATAGCAGAAATACTGGTAGATTAGTCATATTGTTTGAATTTTGGTAGGTTAGTAAATTTTTGGTCTGGTAAATTCATAATATTGATAAAAATAGAATTCAAGAAGTTCAATTTGTGCAGGAGAGGTAGACCCCTCTGCATCAAGTGTTGAATAAAAAAAAAGAAACCCTCCTGCCACCTTTTTCTTTGTTATTATTATTCATGTCATTACGTTACAAAAAACTTTTGGCACAAATCATTTATTTACAAAAATTCAAGTGCTTATACAATTTTGAGTTTGTTAAAAAATGCATAATAACGTTGAATACTATCTAACGTTACCTGCGTAATAGACAAGAAAAAAACGTCAGAGCGGTCAGATACAAAAATCTTTGAAATAAGTAACTAGGTATATGTATTATAATCATAAAATACTTAACGTCTAAACAATAGATTATATCATAACAATATATATTATGTATCGTATCATATAAACTATTGAAAATAAATATTAGTCTCAAATCTCAATGGTTTGAGAATTATATTATAATTATATCTTTATCTCTTTTTGAATTTGTCAATGAAATTGTGACTTACAAGACGTATCTTTGGACAGTAGGTGATACAAAAACATCTGTTTACACGCTAATCAATTACATATATAATATATAAGTAAGTACAAACAAAATATGTACAATACTATGACATTAAAATGTCTGTTTCTATAAACGATAGGTTAACACCGTTATAGAATGTGTGCCAAGTGTTCATGATATATCGTTCATAGAACAACCGAGTAACCTAGTTGAAAAAATCTAAATGCTGTGTTAAAATAATAACGTAAACCACGGTTCCACGGTTCGTTGACATCTGCAGTTAGACCGAAAAATTACACGGAATACGAGACGATTAACTCTAAAATATATAGGTATTTTTAGATGTACTAAATACAACATTATATTCACAGTTATAATTCTTAATGCCCCAGAGCGTCCAGAGTATTATTTTATATCATCGTATCATTGGCATACACAGTCCCAACTCCCGAGTATAATATGAGAGAATTCCAAGGTTTAATTAGGTAACAAAAAAAGGAATTAAAGATAATATTATGCTTTAAAATTGCATTTATAAAGATGATATATATATCTATGTAAGTACTAAACAAAATGTGAATAATAAGTAATATTGAATTATGATAAAAGTATCAACGACGTTTCTTTGATAAAGTAATTATATTATTCATCGGTTTCTAGGGACAATCTAGGTACTGTAACGCGAAATCGGTCAGAAAAAGAAGTTGTACGCATCCCAAACATATATCTGTGTCAAAATAAAAAAATGTTCCAAAATTTATAAAATCATATTGGGTACCTCAAACCCATTTAACAATACAAGCCATTATACGAATTACAATAGGAGCTGTGCTACTGGCCCCTTCCACCCACTATAGTAACACCGATGATATGTTTACCTATATAGTGGTTATATTTCAACTCGACGAGATTTCAAATATTCCACGTATTGAACATAATATTAATATATTCCACAAAATTCAAATCATTTATCGATTTTTAAGACGGGTTTCAGTGGAACCGATGAAATCGACCGATTTAGTATTTTAGTCACCACAACGATTATACCTTTACGGCTATATACATATCAAGTTATAAACTATTTAATACTTGTATATACGTATAGTAACTATATACAACTGTTGTGAGTCCGGTTCACAATAATTTTAAACGATCTATTTGACAACTCGTATAGACGTCATATTATTGTTATATCCTCTGCATTATAAGTAAGAGGTCACCGATCTCAATATAAGGCGTAGATACTAATAATAAATTCACGTGATGGGTGATCAAAAAATTCCCGAATTCACTTTAACCACCACATTAGCATAATATGTGTCATGTTGCAGGTATGTTGTTGGTGTCACACAGTACTGCAGTGGCGTTATTTCAGTATTAAATTGGCTATTAAGTATGCATATATACCACTAACCATTTATTTTGGCATACGATTGGTGCATTAATGTTACTATATATATATGCAAATTTATATTAGGTATTATAATAATATATTTTAATGAACAAAAATTTCCAACAAAAAACAAACATTTTAAACTCTTAAGTGCAAATTAGTATGAAAACCGGAGTCGTGTTGATTTTGATCAACCTGATATAGGTGCTACTAAAATTGTTCTGCCTTACCCAAATTACGTGTCTGTGTGTAGTGGCATTATGGATATTAAATTTAATGAACAACCATAATATTTTATAATAAATATTCGAATATCTTCAATATAATAGATAATACATAATTATAAATTATTGTGCGGTTTTTGGAGTCAACGTCCGTTAAATGTAAATTTCACATATTTTTAACACAGCTATTTGGGTGGTTTTTACCAAATATAAATTACAGGTCTAAAATTGTACACTGCAGACAGCTGTTAACTATATAACCCCTTATTGATATAAATATTACAATATTGTCATATTAGTTTAATTAAATAAAAAATTGTACTGAAGGAAAACAATCTTGAAAAAGAGTTGGGCAGTATTGGTCAAGTTTTACTTTGCAGACGAATATATATATATTTAAGTCTACACTCTTGGTGGTTGTGATACATACCTATATAATATGTTTTACGAATATAATACGGTGAAACTTCTATATAACGAGCTTCCATTTAACACAATTTTCCGTTTAAAGAAATACGTCTGAGAACCAAACCAAATTAGAACCAAATTTATTCAATTCTATTTAACGAAATTCTCTATAAAACAAATTTTTTTTTGCCCCATGGAATTTGCCTAACTGTAATATAATAAGGGCAAAAGAAAATTGTGTGGTCGCGGTGCTGCATCACATAATATGTAATATACACCATTATGTGACGGACTTACCGGAAGCCAAGTCGATCATTGAACTCCAGTCCACGCCGGGCCCGTCGTCGTTGCCGGACGACGACTTGTCCGCAGCGGAGCCTGCACCGGCGAACATGCCGACGAGCTGGCCGATCACCTGTGGGTCGACGGAACCCTTGGCCGCCGCCAGACCGGAAACGATCGATCCCAGCCCGGACTTGGCGCCCTCCGTCTGCATGAAAGACTGGAGCATGGAGCCCAAGCCACCGCCAGCACCGCCGCCCTGTCCGCTGGCCAGCGAGTCTTGCAGCAGCGACTTGGCTGCTTCCAGGAACGGGTTTTCTTCGCCATCGTCAACGCCGTTGCCGTCCACGGAGGACGTGACCGCGGGCCCGGCCAGCAGCAAGACCAGCAACAGAGCTGCGTTGAACGGTAACCGGATCATGATGCAGACGATGTCCGACAATGGATGAAAATCTTACGCGATATTGGTGTACTGGAAAATACAACGCGGTACACTGCTTGGTGGCAGTAAACGCGACCGAATATTAAGTGTGCAAAATGTGTGCTAATGTTATGGAGAAGAACCGTCTTCACATAGTCGGCACGGCGAACGTCTATGGCGAGCTAAGCGGTGTGGCGGGGTAGACGTCGATCGGAGGACTGTGATGGTGCAATGTGACCGACGACGAGGCTGACGGACGAGTCCATCGCCGTTGCCGGAACCGAATGTTCAGCCCCCCCTCCCCCCGACGACGCGGCCGCCGCCACCGATGACTGCAACGGTTACCACCGCGGTAGTGGTGACCGTCTGCGCGAAAAGAGAGAGGGGACGCGCCGGCCGAGGACCAGCTATAGCGGTAAACCCGACCACGCGCGGTTGCGGCGGCGGAACGCGTATAAACCAGTTATGGTAGGGCCATTGACATACCGCCGGACTACAACTACTACAACAGCAGACCAGGTTACTGGTTAGCCATTATTATTTTTTATGTTCATTTTCGTAGAAATGTGACGACGACCACGTATTACAGGTAATACGTCGTTATATATTATTACTGTATATTATTATATATTATTTCGTCCGAAATATCTTTTCGTCGTCGGAATTCGGTCAATTAGGACGTATTATTACGATCGATATTCATTACGTCCTCCAAAGTGTTATAATATTTATTCGTACCTACAATAGACTCGACTACAACAGTGAACGACATTATTACAATATTATTATAATGTGAGCACATTTGAATGCAAATGGCAGCAGAGGTCCTAAGGGATTCCAAGAATACAATAATTCTATTGACAATTTAGTGATGGTCAAAACAAGACCAAGACTATTGCAAGACTTTTGCTATTTTCATAAAATATATAAAGAAAAAAACTAAATACCTGTTATAGCTGTGTGTAGGTTTTTTGCTATGATCTCTAAGATGAAACTTAAGTCTAATATATTACAATATAGTATATATAGTGATGATCAAAATTGGTCTTGGTCTCGCAAGACTTGTGCAAGACCAAGACCAAGACCAATTGTTTGACTTGTTTTTTGTTTATGAATTATCAATATACTATATAATAAAATATTGGACTTAAGTTTCATCTTGGAGATCATAGCAAATAACCTACACACAGCTATAAGTTATAACAGGTATTTAGATTTTTTCTTTATATATTTTGTGAAAATAGCAAGAGTCTTGTTTTGATCATCACTAATTGACATGAAAAATTCTTTTTCATATAACATCATTTTCGTTTGCAAATACATATTTATAAAAAATTTTTATTGGGTTAATAAGGCTTCAACTACTGAGGTAATTAGCCTGTAATAATTACATATAGTATTGGTCTAAAAAATATGGGAATGCAATATTGTGTTTAACAGTAGAGGGAGTTTGTGAAATATAATATTATATAAATGTGTTTTTTTTATTCATAATATTATTATAATATTATGTAATAATAACCATTATTATACTCCCCAGGGAAATTATTTAAACAGCACGAAGGCTTCTAAAAAAATAATATTAAGTCTTGATCTGTCATCCTTGTAATATCATTATGTTTGTGGTTTGTCGGTCGATCGATCTATATTTCTATCCATCGATATATTAAATTTTTTTTTAATTTCAGTCTGAAACAGAACACTTTTCTAGAAACTTGGATGTACACGTCATATTATTATCCTACCATCAGAACATTAGTCATAATATTTCTTATGGCAGAACGACTAAAAGTTACATTCTTGACAGTTATATTCAATAGTGTGTTCGTATTTTTTTATATGGTTTGGTTTGGGTAATGGGCTTACCTATTATCCAGATTATTAGATGTGATTTAAAATTTTTTTTTTGTAATTCCTAAAAAAAAACGCTTCTCGATATTTTTCCTCTGCAACGAAAATCTATAAATCATAAATATGTTTTTGTTAATACGTAAGGCAGAGGACTTGTAGCTCTAAAAAGCACTAAATATGCAACTTATGCACTTAAAAAGCCCATAATATGACTTAAACATTTTTTCCAAAAGTTTTTTTAAATCATAGTCGAAGAAAAGCCCGCGTGGTGCACATACGACTCTCTGTTTTGGTGTCGTGGTGATGTCGAATTTCGGAATAAAAATCCCCAGGAAAAAAACTCCCTAGACTACAATATTCCTCACAACCACATACAATTGGTTAAACAAATATTTTTAAACGTTAATTAGTATTTATAATTACCACACTATTAATATTTAATTACAAATACTTATATTATATTCAAAAAAATTATATTTTGTTTTAAATTACGATGTTAATTTTTCGAAAATTATTTATAGTATTATATATTATATTCATTTTTTGAATGATATAATAAAATATAATATAATATACGCGTATTTGTAATTAAATATTAATAATGTAATAATTATAGATACTAATTAACGCTCAAAAAATATTTGTTGAACCATTTGCATGTAGTTGTAAGTAATATTGTAGTCTGGGGATTTTGTTTCCTATAGTCAGGGATTTTTTTTCCGGGGATTTTTTTTCCGATTATCTGTGATGTCGTATGGTTTACGATGTTAGAATGTTAGATCGTTTGATCGTTAGATTCGAATGTTAAACGATTTTCTATTTATTAATAAAATTAGAATTACAGCAAATTATATTATTGGCTTATGGCTATTATCGGCGATCCTCAAAGGACACTCAATAAGATTAAACGACAAACATTTTTTAAATTTTTATCGAAGCATTTTTACTGTATTGTTTGAAATAAAAATGTCGGTGTGGAAACAATTGATTTAAGTTAAATATGTCTAAAAAGTATAAAATTGTGTATAAAAGTATGAAATATGCCCTAAAATCAAAATGGACTCAAAATATTCATCTGTATGCAAAATAAAATTTCAAAACTAGCTTTGTGAAAGCATATTATATTTGTTTTGTAGTTTTGTACTCTGATATTTTTGTGACTGTGCAAAACAAATATACAAATGCTACAAGTCCTCTGCCCTATTAATAAGTAACCACGACAACGAAAATCTTAGGAAAAATCGCTCAGGAACAAAAAATCTTGTGTCCGGACCAAAAACATATTTATGTCAAAAAGAAATTTATGAAAATAAATCATTAAATTCCAAAAAAATATTCATAAATTGCGTCTGTGGTTGCGTTTGGATCGGATGATGTGTGGATGTCAAGGTCGTTCGTTGTCGTCTCCGAGTGACCTTCTCGTTCTTTTACGTACAATGCCACATTGCCACGCAGGTATACACAGGGCATGTACCTTAGACGGGTGAAAGATACCCTGTACGAACGATATCGTAAAGGGAAACATTAATAATATATTATTAATTATGACACTTTGAACTGAAAAACTGTCAATCAATAAAATTGTAAAAAATGATTTAATTAGATCGATATTAATACAAAACTACTTATCTATAAATCCCTAATAAAGCCTGTATGGACATATGGCATCCAGCTTTGGGGTAATGCCAAAAAATCTAACCTTAATAAGATCCAAACCTTCCAAAACTTAACCCTCAGGAAAATACTCAATGCTCCACCTTACATATCGAACAGCACTATCCACTCCGACTTAAAAATAAAAACTGTCCAGGAAGAAGCTAAAGCGCATTACAAGCGTTTTCATAACCGTCTGTCCACCAACAGTAATCCACTAATCCGTGATCTCGCAGTTCCGACCATACCTGGCAATCCTCCCAGGCGTCTAAAACGCAATTGGTGTCGTGACCTCCTTATCCCCCCCATCCAAACTTAAACAATTAAAACAAAGAAAAAAAAAAAATAGTATAAATACCCATAGTTGAGTGTCATTGATGGTTAGGTTAGGATGGCTTCTCACAACCCGTGTATTCATGTAAATATATATGTTTAGGTTAGTATTTGTACTAATGTTAACTGTATATGTATGTATCTCTCAACGCATGTACTTATTGTGCCTCATAGGTACAGATTGTATATTTCAAATAAAGTAAAAAAAAAAAAAAATTAGATCGATATAATATTTTATTTATTATATACGAATAATATTATGTGCTTATCGAGAATATTACACGAATTAAAATAATATATTATAATAGTACAATTGGTTTTACTGCTGTCTGGTGCATACAATGTAAGCAGCTTATTTTATAATTTATTTACTACATTTTAATTAGTAATTTTTATGTAGAAAATCGTTCCACATTTTCGATTGTTTTATTCATTAAATGCTCGTGAGACGTGAGTATCGTTTAATTAATATTACCTACAGCTGCACACTATATTATATAATAGTAATATCCATACTCATTATTAAATCGACTAGCTTAAACGCCACGTTAAATGTCAAACATTAGTATTTAGTATTATATTATTGTAAGACGTAGGTAGGTACTTATATTTTTTTCATTGTAGCCAAACTAATTTTGTTATTAAACCATTAAAAACGTTTCTCTAACGAACCCTATGCATATAATATATGAAATGGATCAATTAAATGTTTAATGTTATATAATACTCCGTAAAACGAAAAATTTCAAAAATTTTCAGTGATATTAATTAATAATAGGTACAATATTATAAACGCTACTCCATTTCATCGTATCAATATGTTTATAGATATGAAATGAGACCATGCCATAATTAATCATAATTCATAAGGTCAAGATACTCAGGATCTTTCTAAACACACTAAAATAAAATTACTTAAGTATAATATTATAATATAGCTAGGTATAAATGTATTATACATATTATAGCTGTTATATTATAATAATTAATAGCACACAAATATTGCGGGTCACGACTGTTTTCAGAACTACCTCGACCACATGGGTAGAGCTGCTAGCTTACACTGATTTTACTGCCCCAGCAAGCCTATAATAGGACACCTCTGGACACACTCTATTCCAATGTTCAAGATGGGACGCAATAGGGGCTGACGTATACGAGCG